TGTGTGATTGCGCCGCACACACCGTTCACTAAAACCCATCGTCGACATCCAGATTTTTTAAACAGCATTACAAGAGCCATTACTCCCAAAGCAGGGTCTCATCAAGACACTTATCTTATGTTCTGTATATGGTCCTTCTTCAACTCAAGCTTGCCTGTTCTCTTACTATTAAAAATCTTTGCATCGATCTTAACATTGTGCAGGGACATCTCTTGATTAACTGTATATATTAATGCCTCATTTACCTTGGTCTGTTGGTAGAAAAAAATGCTGCAAACCTAAAATCAAACTCCTGATTCAATTGTTGCTTTTTATACGGTTGCCGTCTTCAATTTCATTTTGTGCAATAAAACACGCTGCCTATGCTGGACGCATTTCCATGAGTTTTATTTCTACTTTTGGATTTCACATTCTGCCCGGAGCAGACTTATTTTTGCGATATTTTGATTTACTCAATTTTTAACTCTGTCCCAGGCGGGTGGTGGAACATTATTCAGATATTTAGTGTTACTCATTTTCCGTTTACTGGTCCCTGGTGAGACTTATTTTTACAATATTTATTTTTACTCTTTTCCTTACTGTTGTCCCTGTGTAAATCATTTGTCAAGATATTTAGTTATACTTATTTTTCATTTTTTCCCTTTATTTGCTGCATAATCATTTTTCATCTTTCTAGAAATTTTCAACCTGTTTTTCCTACTATTTCATTCTTTTTTTGTAAATTATTTTATTTAGCCAAATAGTTAGACACAGACAACTTACTTTGGATTGGGCTTTTACAGCATGTAATGCACTGGCTGTTTTATTACATTTAGTTCAATATTGTTTCTACTACAGGCTACACAAACTGAGGATTGCAAGTCAAAACAAAAACACTACGGTTTTCTTAAAAATTGTACCTACCCATTTGCAATACCCATAAGCAACACTGCATGTTTGGCTGCTGAACACACAACAATCTCATAATGGTTACCAGAGCAATTTTTTATAAATAAATCCCCTGATTTGAAATATTCTGTACATTATCAACTATATTCAAGCCAGCGAACCATCACAGTAAGTGAATTATACTTACTCCAAAAAAGTCTGTGCGCTTGAATCTCAACTTCAGTGGCCCAAACTACCGGACATTGCATTTTGACACGTTTATAGATAGATATTCCTCCATTCCTCTGTGGATGCTTTTGTGTACCAACACAGCCTGACTAATTGCTCTAAAGGAAACAGTTACCATCCCCACAACATATTTTCTCCTTCAGACAAGGAGCACCCAACGGGGACCAACTTATGTACAAATGTAAATCTACTTTCTCTGTCGTCAACATTATAAAACTGGTTTGCCCAGAGTTTCTACAACTTACCACAAAAGCTGTTTAAATTGAAGCGCTTTACTCAAAACATTCACCACAAAACAACATCCCGAATTAGCTTGCAGCATAATCACTGTTTTTAACTTCTTCGATGAAGACACACTCGGTTGAAACTTTTACGCGTTTACATGCAGTTTGGCTGAACAGCGTCACACCTACAACCCAACTGACTTCCCCTGTTTCTATTCACTACCGTTGGACTAGATAACAAATGATTCTGGCGTGCGAACTGGCACTGTGGATTACACATACACCACCCCCCCCCCCCCCCCTGTAATCTCAAACTCTTTGGGAGGTTTAAATGCAGTTGCAATTTTGCAGATGTTGAGCAAAATTCATTCATCCAGACAACAGTTAAAATACACAACAACACTCTTCCCTTCCTTTTTCCATCCACCATTCCCATCCGCACTGCGTGCATGTGAATCAACACAGCAAATACGACCGCCTTCACCAATGATTGCACATGTATTTCACCCAATGTCAGAAAAAACATGTGTGGACTATTTACTAAACATCTATCTAATCCAGATCTTGAGACTGGTTGATTATGACACCAGCACAATCAATCACTTGTCTCCACTTCAATATGTCCAAAAACACAACCGATACTCAAAGTAAACGTTGCCCCATCAATAACAGATTGTTTGGGGCAAATTCAGGACACTAGCAGTTTGCGAAATGCTCATGGTGACATTGCTTTCCCTCAACGCTATTTGTTAAAGTTTATCCCCCCAAAACAACAACCATGTCCAGATTGGTCGTCTGCCACGAAAACACGCTATCAATGGGAGTGTTTTGTACGGCTACCCAAAACTGATAGCCACACACTGAACTCCAGCGTGTCGAAACTGAGAATCTCCCCTGGGGATGGAAGATCCCCTGACAGAATTGCCTTACTCTGTTGAATGCCCGCTCAACTACAGCTGCAGTTGCAACTGTGACATTCAACATCTACATCCTGTCGGCAATGTAGCACTGTCATGTCAGATCTGCCTTCACAGACAAGCTGCTTATGCATACCACTTTGCACCCAAAGACTTCTTATAGATTGTCGATATGCAACATCAGGTCGGGCAGGGATGTGTTAAAAACAGCTACAGACTTTCCAATATTACATGCCAACCAGATGCATCACAAGTACCACAATCAACTACAACAAAGTACCATTGTGGCTCATAACAGGCACTCACGCACCGTTGGAGGTTCAAGAGACACATATCGCATCAGTCAACAAAGTGTTACGTAGTTTTTTCCAAAAAACAGAGTTGTCTTTGCAGCCAAAACCTCCGTAGGAGTGATGACCAATAGCTACATTCCACTTGCCTGACCAAAAACACTGTGCCTGCTTTAATGAAACTACACAGCCTCATTCTTCAAAGCTCATCTCCTATTTGATGCTAGCTACAGACAGCCAACGTCTTGCCTTCTAAACAAAGTTATCACAACTTGCCCTCCCCATGTACACACCAGAGCTATAACATGTTTAAGCGCAGCGCAACACTTGCCACGCAATAGACACATGAGTTGGTTGGTCGGCTGCAACTTTGACAGTCAGCTACCACAAACCATTCAGCAGTGGAGGCCGCAACTCTGACTTTGGTACAGAAACAACAGCCAAGTTGCTTTTCTCTGCCACCTGCAAGGTGAGGCGTTGCATCAACCTTACTTTGATGAGTCTTTGATGGGGCGTTGAATACTACGGCCATGACCTGCTGACCCTCCTCCTTCTCCACAAACCTCTTCCACAGCAGTGCGTAGGATTGATGGCTTGAGGACACCGGACAATCCCCCTAAAAAAACATAACAAAATTACATTAACAAACTGTCGTTTTTGCATTTTGGGCAGAGAAACTTGCTAGTCAATTATACAATAATTTTGTATGTGTATTACACAATTTGTTTGGCCAAAGGACACATGCACATAGAATTAAACTGAATTAAGAATATAAGTGTACTAACCCCTCCTTTGCAACTCACTCCACAACATTGGCAAGGTGTCAGCCTGGGAGACACCTCCTCAAACACTGGTTGATGCCTTGACCTGTTTACGGAAACAAAACCATGTGTTTTCTTATTGTTTTCGAATAATTGGCAAAGTACTAAACAAGTCAAGTAAGAAATCTTGATTATTGGTGCCTACCATTTATACTGTGCAATCACTGATTACATTAATGAAAATAAGGACAAACCTGCGCAATTGCAAGTTCTCCTCTTGCCAGGCAACACGTTCTCACTCGTTGCTCCACACTTGGTGTCTGATTAAAGAAAATAAAACACAATTTTAGAACAGATAAGGGTTTTGGGGAAAGAATAGGAGTTTTAAAAGACCCCAATCAACACATTTTCAGACTTACCGTTGTGTCTTTGTGGAACAGGCTGGGCAGTCAGGGCTTCAAGGAGATGCAGCTGGAACCACGGCATCATTGAGCCAAACATGGAAGTGCTGAACACACAGGATTCAGCTGGGGATGAAACACTTCTTCAGCTAATGATTGGAACATCCACCACCTTTTGAAATAAACATAAAAACAGAATATTAGTCACAGTTGCTTTATCAGTAAATCAATGTGCATAGATATTACAATCATATACTATGTTAAAATTAATGTT